GGATCGGTATATACCAAAATACCGAGAAACAACAAAAATTAAAAATTAATGAAATATAGCACGCACATTTTGGTCATTCCCCACTCTTTCATAACTCACAAGTCCCCATCCAACTCGATTTTCACTTTCCTGTTTAAGTCACTCTCGTCTCTCATCTATTCTCTTGTTACTTTCAAAACATCAAAAGGAAAACGCTTATTTTACTCATCTCTCAGCCTCCAATTCGTCGAATTAAAGATTACCAATAACAAGAACTTGAGTTGTCACCTCTACACCCTTAGTCCATTTGCCCTATATTAAACAACCAAATCTAATTTATATATTTAATTATTAACTGCAAATGTAATTTATTTAATTTTTATATTATCGATTGGGATATCGAAATATTTAGGGATTGGGATTAATGTGACTGATTTGAGGGTGTAATTCGGTATTCAAAATTTTGGTATTTAGTATTGGGATACCGATACCGTACCGATTTCCACCCCTATCCACCGATATACTACTGAGATGACAATCAAGTATCTCTTATCATTCTCCCCCCACCCACCCACACACACAAAAAACGTCTAATAAATAAGAAGTTATTTTTGTTATAATTTTCTGTTTCACTTCATTTTCCTCAAAAGGGAAATACAAGTAGGCCTGCAAATGAGCCGAGCGACTCGGCGCTCGACTTGGGAAAAGCTCGTTCGAGACTAGACTCGTTTATTAACGAGCCGAACATGAGCTAAGCCTTGTCCAGCTCGTGAAGCTCGCGAGCTACCTCGACTCGGTGGCTTGTTGAGCTAGCACGTTTAGAGCTTATAAGATGTCTCACATTGTGGCTAGAGAGCCAACTTGATTATTGACTTATGGGCGAATTGATCTATATCTTATGAGTTTAATTCATATGATTGTTAAATTATAAATCTCACTCTATATGAAGTTTAACACACTGAGTATGTGAACAAATATATAATATTTTTTATTTTAAAAAGAGATTTTAAATCATAGATTGCTTCGATACTATTAAATAACATGATTTGGACGAGTTAAAATTTATTTACTACATGATACCAACAAATTATAATATGAGATTAGTTAACATGATTTGCACCTCTTTTGTATATTTTATGTTAATCAATGCTCTTTCTATATTTTCAATTTTAGAAGAAAATTTTGCACTTTCTTATATTTAGTACTCGTATTGTGACTGGCCCGGGTTGTTGGTCTTTGATGATTGGATAGGAGGTTTCATTTCTATTAAAATTTAGTCGGAAGTAAGTTTTTGGTTACTTAATTTTGATTGACAAAGGAGGGGATATAAGTATTGTGAAATTATTTTACATAGGCCTTAAGTAATGAATGACCTTTTCACTTTGGGAATATTAGCACCTAGCAAGGTTGTCAACCCGCGGGTTGACCCGGACCCGGTCGAGTTAGTGGGTCAAGGGTTAATGGGTCAACCGTTTTAGCCCGGCTTGGCCCGGAAATATGGAAAGAGTCATTATATTGTACTTATCCTCATAAATTATATCAAATCTTATCTAACATATGAGTTATAATATATAATATTACACCAAAATAACATATCGTACTTAGATCCAACATATAGTGAAAATTCACACACACTTATATAACATCAATATTCAAATGTTCAACTTAGGATTACTAAGATTGAGTTAGGCGAAAAGAAAAATCGGAAAATAGGCGCATTTCGCAAACCAAAGAAAAAAATGACACAATTTGACCTCCAACCCGGTACCTTGTAGCGGTCGACCCGGCGAGTGCGTGCGGCCCGTTTTTCCCACCGGGTTAAGGTCAAATTGGGTCGACCCGCGGGTCAACCCGCGGGTCAACCCGCGGGTTGACAACCTTGGCACCTAGCTACGTAGACAGTTAAGCGAAAGTGGAAGCTCTATGTGATACATATGATTTGAATGTTGCATAAAAATAATAATCATTATGTAATGTATTTGTATGAGATGACAATTGTAGAATGAGGTTACATATATCTTACATAACTGATAACATTCTTACTTAATAAACAATAACATTGTATTATTCAAATGTTAAATCACTACATAATTCTCACATAACACGGCTAAACGTAATATATATTAGAGTTTCGTAGTCATTATGTAATGTATTTGTATCTTATGTAATAGTTATAAAATGACATTACTTTATAATCAATGATTGTGTATATGTTTGAACCAATTTAATGACTTTGATTTATTTAAAACCTCAATTCTCGGAACTTACCAAAATGCAAGTGACTATTATAAAAAAATAAAATCAAGTTCGGGTTCAGGATATAGTGAGTAACCTAATGGTGCATAACTTGAATAATAAGATATGACCCCTTCGTTTTGAGTGGGCCCCGCAGATCTAAGGGTTGTAAAATTTTATTTTATTTTTTCTAGTTTTCTTAATCGGCTCTTATCTTCTTCGTTCTAATTTGGATTCAATTTTGTTTGCACAGATGGAACGAGTTCGTTGTGATCTACAAAATGAGATCCATTTTCAATATTCTTAGAGAGTGAAAATTCATACCTCTCGTTACCAATTTCACACCATATGGTATCACATTCGTTTTGAAGTCATTTTTTAAAATATTTGCACAGAAAGAACGAGTTCTTCATGATGACCGCCCCTTGCCCGAATGGCAGAAGCAATCCCGCTGCCGCAGAAAGTAACAAATAAAATGGGTAGTCCACTAGAAAAATACACCAAAGGAAAGAAAGAAGAATATACCAAAATGCAGTGCTGCACCAAACGCTGTATTGAAAGTACAAATTTCTTAGGGAAATACAGGACCAAAAAATACCACCTCATACCACCTTGGAATATGGGTGGTTTCTTGTGGTACCCAATGTTCAAAGTCGTAAATGACAGTTAGTAGATTCCTACTATCATGTATTCAACCATTTTACAATTTGATATGTTCATATACCACCATGATACGCTTTCATACAATATGATATGGAGTTGGTAACCATTTGCAATCCCCGGTGACAAATGTTTCAGACTGGCGCATTCCTGAACCCACTTGGACATGTCAGAGATCTTCCAAGTGAATGAGTAGTTAGCCATGTTGTCGATTTTTCACCGGAGAGAGCGAGCAGACATAGGGGTGGGCATCCGGTTCGGTAAACCCGAACCTAACCGAACCGAAACCGATCTAAACCGAACCGAAACCAAAATACTATTGTTCGGTTCGGAATTCGGAATCGAAATCTGGATAGTTCGGAAACCAGGGTTCTTTCAACCGAACCGAGATTCCGAATTTCCGACCGAAAAACCGAAATACATTACATAAGCCCAAAAATATTCCTATTTCCCAACTCTCTAAGCCCAAATGAAACCCCTAACAGCCTAACTCTCTAAGCCCAAACAAAACCCAACTCACTTAGCCCAATCAAAACCCTAACTCCAAGAGCCAACAACCCTCTCCAACCTGCCTCCTCTCTGACCGCCGACTTCGCTTCACCACCTCGCTCTCGGACGGCTGCAGCCTGTAGCTACGACTTCGCTTCATCAAATCCAGTGGCGACCTGAGTGACCATCTCCGACCTGCCTCCCCTTCAGCAGTTCATCGACAAGCACATGCAGGCGGTGCCACCAACGACGATGGCGGGGAAGATCCGTTGCATGCGGCGAAACTCGTTGAGGCCTTGAGGATTATAGAGTTGTAGATTGACAGGAGATTGAAGTTCCGGCGAGGCGACCACCTATTCTGGTTCTCGACCCTCCCGATCTTCGAGATCTAATTCTCGTCGAGTTTCGGGAGATTGGGGAATCGAGACGACGGACGACGGGATGAGACGACGAGACGAGATTGGGGAATCGGGGAGTTGGGGAGATGAGACGATGGTCGTCGGTCGAGTTGGGGAAGTCTGGGAGAAAGGGAGAGCGATTGACAGAGAAAAAGAGAGAGAAGAGAGAAGAGAGAGAGAGAGAGATGAGGCGCAGAAATGAAAAATGGGGGAGAAGAGGTAGGGGTAAGTGATTAAGTGGGGAACTTCGGGTTTGGTGTTAAAACCGAACCGAGATATATTTCGGTTCTGATGAACCGAACCGAAATATATTTCGGTTCGGAATCGGTTTGCTTCCTGATATAGTTCGGGGATTCGGTAATCGTCTATTCGGTTCAAACCGAACCGACCGAATGCCCACCCCTAAGCAGACAGAGGCGTGGGTTTGGGGTACTGGTGCGTCTATGCTTTTTGAGTATCCCTTTCGAGTTACTAAGGCGACTGGCAAAGGTAGTGCAAGATTTTCTTTCGTTTTTTTTTTTTTTATCTTTTCCCACTGGTTTTCTCCTCTTTTCTCTTTAGTCAATCTTTTCTTTTTCGAGTAAATACAATATATTAGTTATTCTTTTAATTCCTTTAAAATATTAAACTTTCATTATGATGCAAAGAGTCGAAACAAGTGAAGGAAAGCTTTAACAATGGCGTGAAGCTAATTGAATGGAAGTTGGAAGAGGGGGAAGTTGCTTACAGGACAACAAAAGAGGATGAATGAAGTACTATTCTATGCTTTCTACCAAGTTTTTCTCTTTCTGTTCTTCTTGACAAGGAATCATTACTCTTTTGGTAGGAGTGGTAGATGTCATTTTGGACCAATAGCTTGATAGTTGGAGGTTGCTAGTCTCGGCGGAGCCAGGATTCTTCGAACGAGAAAGGCCTAACATCATCCACATCTATGAAATACAATTGCTATTTAATAAGTGGCCCTTACTGTCACAACATTCGCTTTTACAATTTCACGACATACCACTTTTATTTTCTCTATATCAATAAAATCCACTTTCGATTTCATATGATAGGCCCAACCACCCAAGTGACTTTGTAATACAACTATACATTTTATCTAATCTACATCATTTTATCAATTTTAAACTTGTCACATAATTAAAATAACATATTTACTTTTCTAATTATAAAAAAACTGAATCTACTAATTCTTTGAAAAACATATTGTAACTTTAAATTTATTAATATAATAATTTTTCCCATTGTAGTTAACAAATGATTAAAAATATCTTAAATAAAATACAATCTTTTCCAACTCAAACAAAACAAAATGGAAATGAAAATAAAAAAGATGCAAGTGCCACGTCACAATGGAAGAGCGGCATGACAGCCGTTGCGGAAGCTCTAACAATGTATTTTCTTAAAATTGAACCTACATCTTTGAAGAGGTAAGAAATACTTAACTATAATGTAAAAATATTCAATTATGTTATGTTTAAAAAATCGATCATTCAGCCTACGGATTTATGAATCCAACTCATTCCATCCCGCGCCACTCACTGCTAAGTCTCATAGAACAACTTCTGAAATGTCTCCACAACACCAGCCTCCAAGCAAATCACCAAAGGCAGGCTCCCATCATCGCCACTCGGAGGCAAAATGTGCCCCGTCCCTTCATTGTAATCCGCAGCTTTCCTGATCAGGATCGGACTCCCCCACCCGAAATCGGCATTCCTGAAGGGCAGCCGAATCCAGCTCACCAGCTTCAGGTTAGGCGACCGACACGGCCCCGGAACTCGTATCACACCATCCTTACTCCCCAGATCCTCCAGGTAGTCTATCGCGGACCTCAGGTACTCGTCGTCCATCCTGCTTATCGCCCGTCGAATCCTGTCAGCAGTATCCGCGATGGTCTCTGCTGCAAGTTCCCCTGCAGTGGCAATCGGGGTGGCGTGAAAGATCACGTTGCCGAAGAACGTCGGAGGCATCGTTGGGTTCAGTCTCGACCTTCCGTCGACGGATATCTGCAGCTTGGTCGGCTGCTTGTCGGGCAGGCCGCGTGCTCTGGTAGCGCACCGCCATATGTGGGCTGTCAGGATGTCGTGGTTGCTGTACCTGTTTCCTGACAGGGTGATGTTGGCTTTGTTCTTTAGGGATGTGATTTGGTTTTGTGTGATTTTCATCATGTGGATGATGGGAGTGGATGGGATTAATGGAGTGGGAGTGGGAGTGATCATGGTTGGGTGAGGGTCGTATTCGGTGTGGTGAAATTTCGGGGTCGGTGGGTCTCGAGCTCTGAGTATGGTTCGGTCGAAAGATGGCACCGTGGTGGTGGTGGCTATGTTCCGTAGTACGCAGCCACCACCGGCTCGAGCCATCTCTGACCAGGTGTTGATGAACTGGAGCGCCGACGCTCCGTCCGCTACCATGTGGTGGACTCCGATGCCTAGACATACTCCGCCACACCTGAACCTTGTCACCTTCATAAATTTTAGGAAAATGTTTTGTTATATGGTCAAGATTATCATTGGGTGATATACAATTAGATGATTCATAAAAACATTTTGTATCCCTATATGAGTCCGATTGATGGGATTTTGTAAAATTAGCATACACTACTTAAACATCTCATGTTCACGCATTCCAGTACCTAAACTTTCATATAACTATAGTTTGACTCTTAACACGTTAGTCCCTAAACCATCCAAAAGTCTAAAAGTACTAACAAACTAAATCACCATCCACACAACTTTACAATTTAATACCCGAACTTCCAAACTCTTTCCTAAGTAGCCCTCAAGTCCTAATTGATAACTGAAATACCTGAAGTGGGTGCATAATAAAATACCTGAAGAACAAGCATAGGGACAGAGGAAATCTCATTGTAGCAATCAACACCAGGAACAAGCTCCCCCAATTGAACCTCCGACGAGGGCACAAACTCTCCGAGCTCGTCGATGGAGGCCTCTGTTTCGGCCTCCAGAAACAGGGCACCTTCTCCATTACACTCCAATTCCAACCTCCCGCTCCCTTTACCTTTCTCCGGCCCGATTAATCTCCCCGCCATGGGATAGAATTGCACCAGGGCGCGGCTCAGTGCGTCCTTCAGCACTTTGGTGTCGAAGAAGAGCTCGGAGGAGTCGGTCGTCGAGTTGGTGTATGCGTAGACTGTCCTGACGTGAGCTTTGAGCTGCAGGAGGTCCAAATTGGACAGCCACAGCTGCTGCCTCGGCGTTTCTTCCGCCGGCCGGACCATGGTCTTCTCTTTGATTGTCACCTTCATGGCGAATAACGGCAGATGGTAAAGCGTTATGTGAAACAGGGGAGAGGAAGCTTATGGTGAAGAATGAGTTTGTGGAAGGGAGGAGTATTTATAGGAAAACAGAGGAGGTCCAAGAAAGTTTCTTCCTTTTCTTTCTTCTTTCCCCCTCGCCAAATACGTACTTTTCACGATCAATTTGTCATTCAAACACAGCTAAAGAAGTTGATTTTGTGACAGATCATTTTTATTCACCAGGATCATGCATCTATTCCCCTATAACGCCGTTTTTATAAAGACTAAATGGATATAGTCGTGTTTGTAAAACATTACTGTACCGGCGGTCTGACTGAGTGAGCCTCTGTAGACCTGGCAAATTACAATTCAATCCGATCCGAAATCGTTTAAAAAATAGAAATTTTTGTAACCCGAAATCTGAATGACCCGAACTCGATAACCCGTGATTTTTGGGCCGGGTTGGGGTGGGTTAACGGGTTGACCCGTTAGACCCGTTCCATTTTATATATCACTTTCAAAATGATAAAATCACTCATAAATTGGTGAGATGTTTAAAAAAATCACAAGGATTTGAATGGCATGTTTAGAGTTTAAGGATAATCAAATATCATGTGTTTCTTGTAGTAGTAGTATTACTCTTGTGATTGTTCTTTTACGATTTGCGTAATTTGTATTTCATTTCATTAGCGTGAGAGGATTTGAGAATATGTTAATTGACATGTGTTAGGTAAACTGTTGTCATGCATATGTGAAAATTAGTGTTCTTTAAGAAAATATGAAGCATGTTTGATATTGTTTCTGAGAACACTCATAACCCGAAATGACCTATAACCCGACCCGAAACCGAATAACCGAAGTTCCCAACCTAAAATTACCCAACCCGACCCGATTGTCAAGTCTACTTACAAGGGCCTAAATCGATAGACGATTTCCAACGATATGAAATGGTTGAACCACGATTACGTGACAGATCGTCGTATTCACCACGGTTATTCGTATGTTTCTCTAAGCTAACAAGTTTAATGAACATACATAAGCGACTCAAGTCCATTATTATTATTTATGAATTTTATTTTGAAATTGTTAGGACCCTCACGTTACTTGAACTTCCTCCTCCCTGATTTTAGCGAGAAATGGTAGCATCGTTCTTATTCGCTAAATGCTTACTTTTGCCTATCATATCCGGCATTTATACCCATTTAAAAATAAGCTAATTTTCTGACAGATTAGCTTATTTATTAGAATCGCATGTAGGGATGGCAATGGGTAGGGTCGGTTGCGGATTATCCTATATCAACTCCTAACCTGTTGGGTAGAGCCTTCTAAAATACCCGACCAAATAATCACCGGGTATGAAAATTATGTAACCATACCCTACCCACCGGGTAACCACAGGTATTCGGGTAACCATGGGTACGAATCCTAAACTATGAACTTATACACATATATGCACATACATATTGTTGTCCATTAAAAATTCTCAATACTTGTAACTGTTCTAGTTTCAACAATCCACACAAATAAAAACAACAAACACATAATAATTGTTCTTGCTTCTACGTACAATCCACACAAACATAATAATTGTCTACATCTTCATCATCAATAATGGTAGCTAAACTCAATTTCTCAAGCTAAACTAAATTTCTCAAGGGAAATTGACCATTTGGTTAGCGGGGCGGGTATTATCGATTACCATACCCGTACCCTGCCCTTTATTTTGAAACCAGGTATTACCTGTACCCGTCCCTTAACTCGTCAAAGCGGATAATTACCCTCGTTGGCCGGTTACGGTCGGGTAGGGTACCCATGGTTACGGGTTGGACATCCCTAATCGCACATCAATTTTTCGAGATCCATTTTATAAACATTATATATGTGACCTTGGCCATCTAGTTTATGTATAAAATTTTAGAAATTGTTAGGATCCTCACATTACATGAATCTCCTTCCCCTAAATTTAGTGATAAATGGTAAGATCGCTGCTTATATAATTTTAGAAATTGTTAGGATCCTCACATTACATGAATCTCCTTCCCTTGAATTTAGTGATAAATGGTAAGATCGTTGTTGTTTGCCAAATACTTATTTTTGATTGTGAGATCTGTCATGCATCCAAGTAAGGATTGTGAAACCGTATTCGATGCTTTTGATTAGATCAACTGGTACACTAGGAAATTTAGAGATAAAAGCATACTATTGAGATACCCTCGAAATTTCTGAGTACACAGATTATTTGTATGAAAGAAATATAAGTGAATGAATTTAGTATAACCATTATTGTAATAATAATTCTAGATTACTAACATTAACATATGTCGAATAATGGAAAAACTCAATCGAGCTGAAACAACACTTATACTTCAACCAAAAAAATAAAATCCCTGAACTTATGAAAATAATTGAAGGACAAAAGAATCTAAAAGAAGATGAACGGTCGGGGATAAAAAATGTTTTTATTTTTCCCAAATAAAAAATTCGTTTAAATGAAAAATCATTAATGGATTCTCTAGTTGCAGACATCATGATTCATTAATCCATATAAAATTACGTCATTAGTTTCTGCTAAAAGAGGGGGGAAAACACCTTGATTAAATTATGTAACCCGCTCAGCTACTTTAAAACAGATGCACAATATGATGTTCAATAATTTTTTTATTTCGATAAAATTGATGGTTATATTAACATCCCGAACTTTTTTCTTACGAATATATTGTCCATTTTGGGCCTCGACCTTCACAGTTTTTGACTTGGTGTGCAATTCAATGTAACTTCCCATAAGGTCACCAATCCTTGTTGTACTCCACACTGAGCACGTTTAACTTCGGAGTTCTCACAAGAACTCTTCCATTTCACCCCAAAACGCGTCTTATCAGTTAAGGTTGGTTTCTTACTTATGAACCATGGATCTCTCCCGTGCTTTGTCGATGTGGGATTTGCCTAAGGTGTTACATACATCCCCCCCCCCCCCCCCCCCCGGGGACTCAATGTCCTCGTTGAGGTTTGCCTCACCATCATTCAAGAGGGATGCGGAGGAGGCTCTGATACCACTTATAACATCCCGAACCTTTTCCTGACGAAGATATTGTCCGCTTTGGGTCTCGACCCTCACGGTTTTTGACTTGTTGCAATTCAAGGTGACTTCCCATAAGGTCACCCATCCTTGTATTAGTGATAAATGATATTCTGTTTATTTGCATTTATTCTTTTATTTTTACCCACAACTTTCTGTTCCTAAGTTTGTGGGTAGTGCCTACGTGCACCTATTCTTTCTCTTCCAAATCTGTATATTAGTTCTCAGAATCCAGAATAATCAACAACTTGGATTTTCCTCAATCATTCAAAATCTACAAACTCTCACATGGTATCAGAGCAAGTTACGTTCAACTTGTCGATCCAGTGCTAAAATCAGATTGGCTTACCTCCTTCACACCATCGTCTCTGTTTGTTCTCTTCCTCTTCCATTTTTTTTTCTTCATCATGTCAGGCGGATCCGCCATTTCCAATAGCTCCACTTCGGCAGACGACTCTGTCATCACCTTCAATCCCGCTGCACAATTGCCATTGAAATTGACATCAACCAACTTCAATTCATGGCGGTCTCAATTGGAGACACTCCTCATGGGGCTCGATCTGATCAGCTTCATTGACGGCACAGGCGTTGCTCCTCCCCGCACAGTCACGGCCGACAACGCCACCGGTCCCAATCCTGTTTATCGACGGTGGTTCCGTCAAGATAAGTTGATTCTCCACGCTATGCGCTGCTCCATCTCCGAGTCCCTCTACTCGTTTGTATCTGCTGCTGTCACATCTCGGGAAGCCTGGGAAATTCTCGAGAAACTATATGCTGGGCGTTCTGGCTCTCGGATTATCAATCTCAAAGGAAAGCTTGCTCGCACAACAAGGGGGAATCGTGATGTCCTCAGTTACGTGAATGATCTCAAGCAGATAGCGGCGGAACTGGCGCTTGTCGATGCCCCAGTTTCTGATATGGATCTCGTTGTGCACTGTCTTCGCGGGCTGGGTCCCGATTACAATCATTTTTCTGCTGCCGTCCGTGCTCGTGGAACCACTGTCTCCATCGAAGATCTGCTCGACTCGCTTAATGAGTATGAGGCGGATCTCCAAGAGCAAACTCGCTCTTCCGCTGTTGCCACGACTTTTCACTCGCAGGTCCCTCCCCGTCGCACATCAGGTAGCAGCGGCGGAGACTCTGGTGGCGGCCCTTCCTCTGGTCGTCCATCGCAGCGTCATCAGCAAGGGTTTCCCTTTCCTGAGCCCGCCCAGCCCAAGCGGGCTTCTTTCTCTGGGCCGCCTGCCACTCTTGAGCCCACTCGGTCCAGAAAGCCCCCTGTTATCTGTCAATTTTGTGAACGGGCTGGACACTCAGTCCGCCAGTGTTTCAAGTTATTTCCTCAGGCCCGGCAGGCCTTTCAGCAGGCCCGACAGGCCCATCACACACACATGGGCTCCTCTTCTTCTTCTGGGCCTTGGTTAATGGATTCTGCAGCATCCCATCATGTGACCCCTGATTTGGGTCAGCTCTCTCTTTACTCAGATTATACTGGGCCCGATGAAATTCTTGTTGGTGATGGTTCAGTTTGGCAATCACTCATATTGGCTCTTCCACAGTCTCTCTTGGTTCCGCTCAATTTCATTTGCGTGATATTTTATGTGTTCCAAGCGTCAAAAAGCGATTGATTTCGGTCGCCAAGCTTTGTCAAACTAATCCTGTGTCTGTGGAATTTTTTTCCACCCATTTTATTGTGAAGGATCTTCGCACGGGGGCGCATCTACTGAGGGGGGAAAACAACGGTGATGTATATGAGCTACCTCGGGAGGTGGAGAATGTTCGTCTGGCCTTGGTCACCACTCGCACCTCTGCCACTTCTTGGCATGCTCGTCTTGGCCATCCCTCACATTCGACTCTCACCAGTCTCATTCGGTCCAATTCTCTTCCTGTTTCGACGTCTCTGACTAGTTTCCCCTGTGATGCTTGTCTTTCCAATAAGAGTCATAAACTCCCATTTTCTGTTTCTTCTTTGACCAG